TTATGTTGTAAGCCGCCTAGAGTGGTCGAAATGACTAGATAGGCGGGGTATAAATAAATAAATAAATAAATAAATAAATAAATAAATAATAATCACGTGTCATCAAGTCATTTCTGACTTATAGAGCCCTTCTCAAGAAATTGGTTACCTTTCCCTTCTTTTGGGGGTACCCTGGGACAGTGTCGCTTACCCAAGGCCATACAGGCTGGCTCTACTCACAGGAGGCAAAGTGGAGAATCGAACCCCCAACCTCTGGCTCTGTAGTCAGATACCGAAGCTACTGAACTATCCAGCCAGCTTGTTAAATTACTGTATTGAATCACAAATACCGGCTGATTTTGTGCAGAGCAACCAGAGACGTAGTTTTTCCCCATTCCTAATTTACAGATTTTGCTTAGCAAGGATCAATAAGTTATTATAAGCAGTATGATTACTGAGGCTAAATTCAGAATGATATTGGTTTACTTTCTGGGCCACATTTAGAGCTAGTCTGTTATTGTAACAGACAGTGAAACTGAGGGAAGTGGGGGGACAAATAATCTGTACTTTTAAGATCAAGAGGTGAGGCGTTTGGTTATTACACTGTTAAGTCATCTCACACCTGTTTGAAATGCTCCCATGTGAACTCTGAAGATGCAGACTGCCAAAGGTTTTGTAATTTTGAGTACATACATTAAATATGAAACACTTCGGCTCTTTGAAAAACAGATTAATCACTGCAGCCTACAACGGAGTAACTTCTGACTCTTTACTAATTTTCAAACTCATGATGGAAGTAAAACTCAGCTCTTTGCAAGGGTGGGTAAGATGAAAGGAGGAGTTAAAGATAAGGGGCCTTGAAGCACTAAGGAGGTGGTACAGTTTTAGTGCTGGAATGAACACCATGCACAAAATTATCCACTCTGCTGGGTTCAAATTTAGAGGCATCTGATGAATGCTGTGAAAAGGATGTAAGGAACAATACGTTCACCTGCTGATTTCTCAGTCTTGCTGTGAGCATAAGTTGACTTGTTAAATGTATTTTTCAGTAGATGGAGTCAGTTTCAGTGTGTGGCCCAACAACTGCTCCAGATTGTGATACAGAGATAGAACAAGCAACATACATGGGGAGGGAGGGTGTTTGTGACTCAGATCTTGGCTCTCTAAACATTATTGCACAAAGCAGAGGCGCTATTTACATTAAATGTTTAAATGCAAAGTGTTTTTCTAATTAAGTTTGCCTGTCAGACGTTTTTGCATCCTGAGAGAAAGACAAAGCACTGAGTTTTGTCAAGTCTCTTTCATTGTCTCCAGAGGGCAGCATCTACACTTCTACAAAGTACACATATTAAGAGTTTCTCGACAGTCCATGGGTCCCCTACCCTTGTGAAGATACCATTGCTGTTCCTTCCACCTCTTGTACCTCCAGCACCTCCTCTGGGTTGAGGTGGCGGTTGGTTGCCCTGCTGGACACTGAGGTCTTCACTGGCTGCTGGAGCAAGGAGGTGAGCCTGTAGGGTGCATGTACCCCTTCCGCATCCTCTCCTTCCAGACCAGGGGCCCTTTATGTATGCATAATCTATGACCTCCGTTGCACAGAAGATGGGTCCAGCTCCTCAATCACATCATCCTATGGTTTTTCCTCTTATGACGCTGTAGACTCCGACATCAACATCCCTGACTGGCTGTCCTCCTCCTCTTCCTCCCCCTTTTCTTCCCTGCAGCTGGCCACTGTATTTAGCCCCCATTTTCTATCTCCACCACCTCCTTCTCCTGGGCATGCAGTCCTGCTTTGGCATATGTCTGAGGCCAAGGGTTTGCACCTTCTGACAGGCAGTCCAAGGGGGTGTGGGACCAGGGCAGAGAACCAACTAAGGGTGCTGGTACCCTGTTTCTCTGAAAATAAGACAGGATCTTGTATTGATTTTTGCTCCAAAAAAAGCATTAGGGCTTATTTTCAGGGGATTTTTTTTAAATGTACAACAATCAACATTTATTCAAATGCAGTCATGTCATCTTCTTCTGGTTGCTGCACAAGGGTGGAGGGCAGGGTTTCACTTAACTGGGGCTTATTTGGGGGGTAGGGCTTATATGACGAACATCCTGAAAAATCACACTAGGGCTTAGGTCTTATTTTAGGGGAAAGACGGTAGTGACCCCCTCACAGTCAAATACCAAACAACAACAACAACTTACCAAAATGTGTTCAATTTCTGTAGGCCTACCAGCTTTTGTTGCTTCCTCCCACCTTAAGGAAAGGTGTGGGGGGGAAGCACACTGAAAATATATACACAGGACTGTAGGTGGGTTCTACCACTGGATTTTAAAATGCACAGAGTGTGGCCATCCAGATGTTGTTGGACTATAACTTGCAGCACGGTTAGTCAGCAAAGACACTGATGAGGAATGGTGGGAGCTGCTATCCAAAACATCTGGAAGGCTGTACTTCACCCACCTCTCCCCCGCTGGGATACGGCAACTCCACCAGAAAGCAGTTCTCACAGCAAGTGCAGCTTGCAGGGAGACACTTCAACAGATTGTGACTTTTAAACCTTAAAAAAGAAAGAAGAATGTGCTAAGGAACATTTTTTAGAAAGCAAAGCAAATTAAAGTGTGTTGCTTACATATCGCCCCATAGTGTTCAAAGCACTCTCTGAGCAGTTTACAATTTAATTATGCAGGCTACACATTATCCCCTGCAATTTACCAACCTTGGAAGGATGGAAGACTGAGTGAACCTCAAGAGACTGAACCCAGGTCATGAGCAGAGTTTTGGCTGCAGTCCTGCAGCTTCACCACTGAACCATGAGGCTCCGACGGGGATCTTAAAAAGATCCATTTTAAATCTTTAAAAAATGTAGACAACTTGGAACAAGCCTAGCTAGAAGATTTGTTTTAAATTTTACACATTAAGATCAGAAGTTATAATGTCACAATTCTATATCCTTTATTTAAACAGCAAGGGAAAAGAAGTAGAAAACATGTTCTCTTTAAGGAAGTGTTCTTATGTCTTATCCATTACCTTTCCCGATCAGAATGCATTTGTTGAACTGCTAGTTGATGGTTACAAATACAGCAAATGCAGTGAACTATAAATATATATTGTATTCATGCATAACAGCTCTACTAAGATGGAGCACTACGGACAAGGTGCCTTCGTAAGGGATGGATATCCTTCATTTTCATGTAAGGCCTTGACAGGACATCTGCTATCTTTTGCTGATAAAGCTTCTCTGCTTCGAGTGCCATCTCATATTCACGGCGCTCTTCTTCCTTCTCAGCCTCTTGCCTTTGCTTGATGTGACTGAACTGAGTTTGGAGTTCTTCCCGATATTCCTTTTCCTGTCGTAGGCGCCTGAGGATAACATAATAAAATATCACGCATATGGACCATAACAAAAACATTCAGGGTTTTTTAAAACCAGGGCATGGTTTGAAAGCATCTGGTGCAGTCATCTTGTGAAGCTAAGCAGATCTCAGTCTGGTTAGCACTTGGACAGAAGATCTTCTGATAATCTCATGTATGTGGCTTTGAGCGCTGTAGGAAAATAGGCTACACATGTTTTTTAAAAAAGTGATATTCTTTGCATCAGAACCCTGCATGACTGGACAGGTGTCAGGGTACTTTCAGTCCTGGATGCATTTAGGTATGCAACCTGCCTCTTGCAGGGGAGCTTCGTTTGTACCCTCCCCGCTGTTTTAATTACTCACTCACTATGCCTCTGATGTGGCATCACCAGGTAATGCTCTAGAATGACAACATCAACAGCATTATAACTATTTTGAATATCGGGTAGTTTACAGTGTTGGCACTGATATCAGCACTGCTGTGTTCCTTGCTGCCATTTCTGCTAGCTGGAGGCCTGCTTGTGGGACACTGACGTTGGAGGTTGTCAAGCCAGAGGGCACTTTCTTGGGATGACCTTTCTTAAATCTGGAGCTAGCTCTGAACACAGTACATTGTGCTTGGCAATCTAGCCAGCTTTACTCCTGTGAATGAAGAAAACTCCAGAGGAGGTTTTAAAAAAAGTCTAGAGGGCTTCCCTGTTGCTTAAAAACACTGGCAAGGGTGCAATCCATGATTTCAGTGGACTGGGGACATAATATCTGGCCACCCTTACAACACTTCCTATAGCCATGACAGAGTATAGCAGAGGGTTGGCCAAAATGTGGCACATGGACAACAAGCAGCATTCGTGGGATCCTTGAAGATCTTGCATGCCCTTGATAAAAAATAGGAAAAAATATCTGTCCCAGTTACTAGAAGGTGTGGGGGGCAGTTTTGCTATGTTTTGAGCACTGTGGGATCCTTGAAGATCTTGCACGCCCTTGATAAAAAAAACAGGGGAAAAATCTGTCCCAGTTACTAGAAGGTATGGGGGGCAGTTTTGCTATGTTTTGAGCACTCCCCAGCACCTCTGGGTCACACCACACCCATGTTTTGAGTAAAAACAAAACAGAACAAATACAATTACCCATCACGTTTATAAGAAAAAATAGGATTGGGTGGGAGTCGTAAGGGTTGGGTGTAGCCCTCGAAATTCAAGCAGTGGGCATATACGGCCCCCAGACTTGTGCTACGGCATGCAGTACAGGTCAGCACACTATTTCACAAATAAAAACCTATGGAGGAAGGCCATTTCTCAGATAATATCAGGAATCTTTCTGTGCACACTCGACACCTGCACAGAACTGCTACGAGAAGAACCCACAGGGGGAAAAATAGAATCTGCACATAAGGAAGCACCCAGTGCAAAGCCCCTGTCTCTGAAACCCACACAGGAGGATGAAGGCCATGAGAGGGCACGCCTTCCCTGGCCAAGCCAGCCACAGACACCTAACCCCACTCTTACATCGGGGTTGGGGAGGCACAAATCGTTTGCTCAGCATGGAGAAGCAAAGGACAACTGCAGGATATCCTTTGCTCTGTGGAAAGGCTCAAAGAAAATCACCTTGCATATCTCTCCTCTTCCAGACGGTTGTATTCTAGAAGGGCTGCATTCAACAGCTCCCTGTCCTGAGCAAGTGCCTCTTGTTCCTGGGCATTTCGTTGCACTGGGTGGTAAAAGAAAGGACATGTAATTAGCAAATGCTGACAGGCAATTATATGCACATCAAAACAGCCTCGTCTGAGGTGTTCCTCTCCTCAGCCCTTCTGGCTGCTTGTGTTCTTTCTATCACAACGCTGATTTGATAACATCTGTAATCTCACCTTTCCTCCAAATAAATCAAGGGAATGGATGTCTGCCCCCCCCCACCCCAAGAGTGTTCCATCTTTGCAACACTCTTGTACGGTCAACCAAGGTGAGAGTTTTTTGAGACCTGCAGTTGAAGCGAGATGTTTAGCCTGCAAATGGATCTCCTTAGGAGGATGTTGGTGGCGCTGTGGGTTAAACCACAGAAGCCTCTGTGCTGCAGGGTCAGAAGACCAGCAGTCGTAAGATCGAATCCACTCAACAGAGGAAGCTCCCGTTGCTTGTCCCAGCTCCTGCCAACCTAGCAGTTTGAAAGCATGTAAATGCGAGTAGATAAATAGGTATCACCTCGGTGGGAAGGTAACGGTGTTCTGTGTCTAAGTCACACTGGCCACGTGACCACGGAAACTGTCTATGGACAAACACTGGCTCTACGGCTTGGAGACGGGGATGAGCACCACGCCGTAGAGTCGGACACGACTGGACTAAATGTCAAGTGGAACCTTTACCTTTACCTAGGAGGATGTTAAATCTTTCTTAGTGTTTTGTTTCCACTGTCATGACCTTGGTATTCCAAACAAATATGGAGGCAAATCAGAATTTCCACAACCTAACAGAACTGCTGGATAACTCAGTGGTTGAGGCATCTGGCCGTGGAGCCAGAGGTTGGGAGTTTAATTTCCCCCGACTGTGCCTCCTTGACAGGGGCTGGACTCGGTGATCCCGAGGGTCCCTTCCAGCTCTGCAGTTCTAAAATGACTGGATTAGATTAATACATTCTGAATGTGCTGGACTGCAGCAGATGCCATGCTGGTTGGGGCATAGGGGTTCCTCTTCACAACAGAAGTTCTGTTCTCAGGCATTGAGAAGGCACTAGTTTAGGGTGAGAGCTGTTGTCGTTAGCAGCACGTGCATAATGGGTCCTTACGTTTCTCCTCAATCTGAAGCCGCCTTGTATCCAGGACCTCCCTCAGCAAGGTCTCTCTGGCATCCTTTAAGGCCTTCTCCTTGGCAGCCCTCTCTGCCCACATCTTCGCGGTCTCCTCGGCCCGCAGCTTGTCCAGTTCTTTTTCCCGCTGTTTCTCCTCCTCCATCTGTTGTGCCAAGTACGCCCGATAGAGCTGCTGCTCTTTAAAGAGCTCTTTCTGCAACGAGGCAAACAAGGGATGAGTTGTCAAAGATGCAGGGAGGGAGGCCCAGGGAGGCATTTTTTTTAAACCATAGAACCTCCAAAAGTAGGAATTGCTGTTAATAGGGCAGTTAACCAGAGTTTTAAGCCTTGTAGAATTCCTATCTTTTCCTTAGTTTTCTCCAGAACAAAACCCACAAATCAAAGAGCACCCATATAAACGAGCAGCAGCGCTCACTTTTTGGAGGGTTGATCTAACTAGAGCTATAGCTAGCTAGTCAAGCAGTCTCCTAAATGATGTTTGCTATGTTTATTTCCGTGGCATGGTTCACATTAAATGAGTTGATTGAGTGTGTGTGTGTGTGTGTGTGTGTGAGAGAGAGAGAGAGAGAGAGAGAGAGTGTGTGTGTGTGAGAGAGAGAGAGAGAGAGAGATTGAGAGAGAGAGAGAGTGAGAGAGAGAGAGAGAGAGAGAGAGAGAACATACTGAAGTGGCTTCAACCATTCGAGGGAAAGATCTTGGGATGATAGTGAACAGTTAACCAAAAAAATAAACTCAGTGTGCAGACACAGTGTAAAAGGCTTATTGCATGTCAGAGGAAGTAAGAAAAAGACAACGAACTTTAGATTAAAAGATCATAATAAACATAATGTCTTAACACCTGAGGTGAGAAATATATGACTTTTTAGATATTTTTGGATCCACCCAAATATACAATTCACCATGGAAAAAGAAACAGAGGGCCAATTCCCTTTCTTAGATGTCATGCTCATATGCAAACCGGACCTCCTATTGGGACACAAGGTCTACAGAAAACCCACCCACACAGACCGGTACCTACACAAAAACTCCAACCACCACCCATGACAAAAAGAAAAAAGAGGCATAATCAAAACACTGGTAGACCGTGCAAGTCAGAACTGTGAAGCTCACTTTCTCAACCATCTGAAGTGGGCCCTACAGGCAAATGGCTATTCCAAGAATGAAATCACAAGAGCCATCAAACCAAGAAAACAACACCAAACTAAAGAGGAAAAACAGCCACCCACAAATAAAGTATTTCTGCCGTACATCAAAGGGGTCACGGACCGCATGGGGAAACTTTTGAAAAAAACACAACCTACAAACAGTATTCAGGCCCACCATAAAATACAACAAATGTTAAGGTCAACAAAGGACAAAAGGGACCCCCTTACCACTGCAGGAGTATGCTGGATTCTTTGCAGTTGTGGGCAGGTATATATTGGGACTACAAAACACAGCATCCACACCAGAATCAAAGAACATGAAAGACACTGCAGACTAAAACAACCAGAAAAATTGGCAGTAGCTGAACATGTCCTTAAACAAGCTGGACATGAAATCCTATTTCAAAACATAGAAGTACTGGACAACAACAGCAATCCACAAACACCATCACAGCTTCAACAAAAAAGAAGAAAGTCTAAAACTCAATAAAGCCTGGCTCCCAGCACTGAAAAATACAACCTGCAAAAAGGACAATAAACTCTACCCAGCCACAAGGACTGGTGATCACTGTACACAAAAGACTAGCTAACAACACACATCAATCACAGTGAGAGATCGTCTCCTCCCCTTATCACAACAATACATCCATTAAAAAAAAAACAAAAAACACCCTGATCACCATAATCACCAAATCTCCTGAAAAGGACAAAAAGCTGATTCCACAGCTACAAATACTCAACTATCCCACACACTACACCAGAACACAGACAGAGTTCTAACTCCTGTCCTCTGAAGATGCCAGCCACAGAGACTGGCGAAATGTTGGGAAGAAAAACCTCCAGAACAGGCCGAGAAACTTACAACAACCATTATGCAGGAATCTTGATTTGAGGGCAAGAAATCTGAAAACCACTAGTTCAGTCTGCAGATCATCATGCCAAGGCTCAACCCACACTTCAAGTTTTATTTCAGGACATGTGGGAAAGACAGGATGCAGGAGGGCAACCCCAATGACCCTCATACCACCAACCAGGTGGGCAATGTTGCCATATCCTTTGAAGGATACGTGAAATGTTATCACAATTGCCTGCAATGGAATTTTCAGGGAGCACCAAGTCCATTCAGTAATCCAACCTATGATGCTGATGTAGCTATGTGAACAGAAACCACTCTGTCCGTCAAAGCTACATCAGTGTGGAAGAGTGGGAAGTGCTTTACCTTTCTAGGGCCTAAAAGCAACACACACTTTCGGAATGGCTGTATTGAGCCCACAACCTGAACCAATTGAAAAAGCCTTACTTTTCGTTGCTTTTGGCCCTCAGTGTCTTCCTGAGATTCTTGCAGGATGCGATCCAGGATCTTCATATCTAAAGCCAGCTCTTCCTGCTTGGCTTCATTGAGACGCTTCCTCTTCTCCTCCATGGAATCTAGCAGCATGTCTCTACATTCTCTCAGCTTCCGACGTCTCTCCATCTCAGCTCGTTCATCCTCTAGTTTAAACAGAAGCCGTTCCTCTTCCTACAAGAAGGGCAAGAGCGCTTGTTAATTCACCACTTTGAGAATGGATTTAGTCATCTCCTGTAACATTTGACGCTGAAAATAGTTGTTCAGTATGGTGAATGAGAATGTGGCTGATGGGTCTCCCTATAGAATTAGAAGGCAATCTAGACATGTGTATAGGGCAGCGATGGTGAACCTATGGCACGCGTGCCACAGCTGGCACACGGAACCCTTTCTGCCGGTATACAAGCTGTAAGTCGCCAGATCACTACTCCCCCTCCCACGGGTGAAGCCAAACCTGAGAAGGTGGCTGCAGCTGTGGTCCTGGCACTTCGGCAGGCAAATCTGGAGCAGGTGGCGCTGACAATGGACCCAGAATGGGGTCTCCAGGCACCTCTGTGCCAGGATTCCCCCTACCGCCGCCACTTCCGGGTCCGCCACCACCGCGGCATGCTGCCCACTGTTTTTTTTCCTTCCCTTCAGTTTGGGCACGTGAGCCCAAACCTGGCACTTCGGCAGGCAAATCTGGAGCAGGTGGCGCTGACAATGGACCCAGAATGGGGTCTCCAGGCACCTCTGTGCCAGGATTCCCCCTACCGCCGCCACTTCCGGGTCCGCCACCACCGCGGCATGCTGCCCACTGTTTTTTTTCCTTCCCTTCAGTTTGGGCACGTGAGCCCAAAAAGGTTCGCCACCCCTGGTATAGGGGCTGTAAAGCCAAGCTTTGGAGCAACATATTTATTTATATTTATTTATTTATATCCCGCCTAGAGTGGTCCTGATCCGACCAGATAGGTGGGATATAAATAAAATAAATATAAATAAATAAATAAAAATACAAGAAACATGAGTCCTATTCAGGCACCCAGCCTGAAGACTGGGGCTCAAATGGTGGTAGCAAGGTGGGAGGCTCAGGTCAGCTACAATAAGGAGCAAATGATGATCCCAGAAATGCTGTAAACCTGTTCAGTTGAACATGCTTATACCCCTAATGCAGACCTTTGCACTAGTGTTGCTTTTGAAATAGAGCCCTGATGAAAATAACACAATAGCGACACTGGCTATCAAAGTTCAAGATCTTAATCTGCTACGTGTAATCATTCTAGCGTTTTAAAAATCTGCATTTTTGTTCTAACAACTCTGACCTCTTTTTGTCTTTTCTGGGCTTCCTCCATGTCCCGTTTTTCCTTGGCCAACCTGTCCTCTTCCCAGAGTGCCAGATAGGTTGCTTCTTCCATCTGCTTTTGCTTTTTCAGTTCCTCCTTTAAAGCCAACTGGGCCATTCGGTCTTCACAAACCTCCATCAGATGTTTCTTGCTCCACTGGGTCCGCAGCTCCTCACAGGATTCTCTGGGCCACAGGAAGGAAATAAAAGGTATTTTGTGTAAATGGAAAACACACATTATGGCTTGGAAATATAGTAGGACCCCATTATCTGCAGGACCAGTATCCACTGATTCACTTATCCACAGTCTGAAAATATTATAAATACTGTATTAAAAGAAAAAATCTAGAAATATATATTTCTATTTCTGTTATATTAAGACAACCACCTGTCTCAAGTTTTATACTGTCGATATGTTCTACCAAATTACCTATTCTGTATATCTTGTATTATATGTTTTTATATTTGAATTTTCGGTCGGTCTATGACCGTACAGTATAATAAAACTTAACTTATATTTCTAAAGAGGAAGTTACGAGAACTGGCCACTAGAGGAAACCAGAGACCATGCTATGTACAGGGGTCCCTAGAATCCACATTTTTCAGCATATGCAAGGGGAAGGGCTTAGAACTAATCCCCTGCAGATACAGGGGTCCTGCTATACTGATGTTGACATAATGCAAAGCTAGAAAACATTGATCACATAGATTTGAAGTTGCATAGGATAAGAAACAGGGCACAGTCCAAAGGTTTCCATACTGACATTGCTCAGAAACATTGAGTGGCATGCCTCAGTTTGACAGCCATTAAAGGTTACACTCTCAGTCTACACCTTTCAAGGCTCAAAGAGATCTTCTGAAAAGCTGAGCCTGAGAGCCTATCCGGCTGTTTCTCAGAAATGGTAAAAGAGTGAATGGCCAATATATATACATATTTCTGCATTCCTGGTTTTTAGATGAAAAGAAAGGAGATGCGCATGCCTTTTTGGATGTAACACCGAAGTAGGATGAAAGGAATTACAGGTCAATCACACGGTCTCACTTCCACTTCTGTGGAGCACCGGAGATTGCCCTGAAAGACTATGACCCAAGAACAACTGAGAGAATAAGAGAACTGCAAAGGGAAGGATACTTTGGTACCCACTCTTGCCTGGCACTTGACTGGCTAGAAAAATGGATATGTGGCAACCCCCTGCCCTTAGCCTTTGCCAAGGGCAGCGCGGAACAGTTTCCACTGATAGCTGCTCTCGCTAATTTAAACTCTAGCCTTTCCCCTTGCACCAGTTCCTGGGCCTGTGTCTTGCTTTTCTCTGTCATTCCATGTTTTTTTACTGATGTACTTGTCCGCCTAGAGTGGTCCTATAGGCCAGATGGG